GGGGGGGGGGGCCCCTGCCACAACAGGGCTGTGGCTCGTGGGAAATTTGGGGTGATGCCAGGGCAGAGCCCCCACAGCCCCTGGGAAGCTTCTGTGGGACCCCTGGGGTCAGCGTGGGTGTGTCTGGAGATGGGTGGCAAAAGGCCAGGAGGTCTCATGGGGATCTGCCTGGGCAGCCATGGGGCAGGGTGCCCGTCTGGGGGGTCTCTCTGTGTCCATCCAGCCCTGCAGCTCTGCAGGGATGCAGGGAAGGTGGCACAAGGTGGCGATGGCCACCTCTCCGGCCATCCCCAGCCTGTGTCTGGGTGCAGCTTCTCGGAGGTGGCCGAGCCAGAGCGGGATGGATGAAGAAGGGAAGGCTGAGCTCCCTCTGCCGACAGCCACCCCAGCCAGGCAGCTCAGCCTGGCACCAGCCCCAGGCACCTCCTCTCTCTCCTGATCCAAAATTTGCACTGGAAAAAAAACAACACCAAAAAAACCAACAACAAAAACAGGCAGCCCCAAAATAGATCCCCTTTCCCCGAGAAGCTGGCAGAGGCTCAGAGCTGCTGGCCTCACTGGAGGAAAGTCTGGAGCATGGACCATGGGACCCTGCAAGAGCCTGCAGCCCCCACCCCATGGGACAACAGGAGCATCCAGGGACACGTATGTAAATAAAAATGAAATATTTAATTTCCTTTTTTAAAAAAAATAATAAATCCCTGACAAAGTGCTTTACTGAGGATCCTCACCAGTGGGGTGTGAGCTGTTTGACAGGGGTTGTGCATGAGAGCAGGGGAAACTGAGGCACGGGGTGGTTGTATCTGCAGCAGCAGATCCTGGGAGGGGACCCAGCTGCTCTCAGACCAGTGCCATGGCCACCAGCCTCCCTCCTCCCCAGGACAGCCTGTGCATGCCAGGACACCAGTTCATGTGCCAGGAAGGGTCACCCTTGGGCTGAGGACCTGGTCTCTGTCAAGGCATCAGGAGCAGTGAGGGCTCCCTGGCACTGTCACCGCAGGGGGATCATCGGGTGCCAGACAACAGCGGTTCGAGGAGGACGGGCCGCTGTGGGGCAGCAGCGATTTGGGAGGCTGCTGGATTGGGAGAGCAGCTCTGGAGACCTGGGAAGCAGCAAGTCCCGGGATGCACAGCCGGTCCTGGCCTGGCCAGCCAGGCAGCTCAGCCTGGCACCAGCCCCAGGCACCTCCTCTCTCTCCTGATCCAAAATTTGCACTGGAAAAAAAACAACACCAAAAAAACCAACAACAAAAACAGGCAGCCCCAAAATAGATCCCCTTTCCCCGAGAAGCTGGCAGAGGCTCAGAGCTGCTGGCCTCACTGGAGGAAAGTCTGGAGCATGGACCATGGGACCCTGCAAGAGCCTGCAGCCCCCACCCCATGGGACAACAGGAGCATCCAGGGACACGTATGTAAATAAAAATGAAATATTTAATTTCCTTTTTTTAAAAAAAATAATAAATCCCTGACAAAGTGCTTTACTGAGGATCCTCACCAGTGGGGTGTGAGCTGTTTGACAGGGGTTGTGCATGAGAGCAGGGGAAACTGAGGCACGGGGTGGTTGTATCTGCAGCAGCAGATCCTGGGAGGGGACCCAGCTGCTCTCAGACCAGTGCCATGGCCACCAGCCTCCCTCCTCCCCAGGACAGCCTGTGCATGCCAGGACACCAGTTCATGTGCCAGGAAGGGTCACCCTTGGGCTGAGGACCTGGTCTCTGTCAAGGCATCAGGAGCAGTGAGGGCTCCCTGGCACTGTCACCGCAGGGGGATCATCGGGTGCCAGACAACAGCGGTTCGAGGAGGACGGGCCGCTGTGGGGCAGCAGCGATTTGGGAGGCTGCTGGATTGGGAGAGCAGCTCTGGAGACCTGGGAAGCAGCAAGTCCCGGGATGCACAGCCGGTCCTGGCCTGGCCATCCCGCACGGGCACAGACCCTGCAGGGCTCCAGCCCTGGGCATCCTGGGGAGCTCGGCTGGGCACAGGGCAGCCTGCCCGGCTCAGCAGCATCTCTTCTTGGGCTTGTCGTGAGGGGTGAGTTTGATGGAGTCCGTTAAATAACTCTCAAAAATCCCTTTATACTGGAAAAAGCAGAGAAGAGAGAGCGACGTCAGGTCAGAGCCAGCCAGAGCGGACCGGAGGGCTGGGGAGCACAGGTTTGGTCCCGATGAAAGACAAAATCCAGGGAAGAGCCTCCCGGGCCAGCCGAGGAGCGAGGCCACCCCCGTGTCCCGGCGGTGGGGACAGGAATGTCCCCGTGGGGTGGCCGCTAGAGGACAGTGCTGGCGCGCCCAGCGCTGCAGCGTGTCCTGCTGCCCTCACCGGGGAGCAGCAGCAGTGCTTGAGCCTTTCCTGACTGCTCTAGGATCTACCTTAAGAAAACAAACACACTGCTGCGTTTCTCTCTCTCCTGGGGCTCTCCTACACCTTATCAACAGGAGCTGTTCCTCCTCAGCAGGTGCCCGGGGTGCTCACCGTCACCAGTGCCTGCTTTGCCAGGGTCTCAAAGGCTTCTGCAACGTTGATGTTGTTCTTGGCACTGACTTCGAAATAAGGGATGTCCTTCTCCTTGCACCAGGCTGAGGCCATCTCCTTGGACACCTGTGGGGAAGGAGGATGGAGCTACAGCCCAGCCCTGCCCGTGGCTGCTGGGGAGTTGTAGAGGGGACCCTCCTGGTCCAGCCAGGCACTGGTGGGTGAGGACAGGGTGCTGGCAGTGCAGGCAGCTCTGAGGTGCCTCCGTCCTGCTGCCTGCAGTGGGGACACTCTCTGCTGTGAAGGGCAGAGGGGTGATGCTGCTTATCCCCTAGGAGGGGCACAGGGGAGATGGCACCACCAGGTGCCCAGCAGCTCCTCTCCCAGAGCCCTGGTTTTCACAAGGGTATCAGAAGAAGGTCAGTCCTGCAGAAGGATCTGCCCTCGTGAGCTGCTGGGGCACAAGGGTGTCCCAGGCCCCGCTCCCTCCTCTGCCCTTACCTGGCGATCATTGATGTCTATTTTGTTCCCCAGCACAACCATGGGGAAATCTTGCTCCCTTGGAATGACCTTGTCCAGAAAGTCATTTCTCCAGTTGTCCAGGGCCTCGAAGGACTCCCTGTCTGTCACGTCAAAGGCCAGCATGCAGCCATCTGAGCCTTTGTAAAAGGTGGACACCATGGATCGGAACCGCTCCTGTCCCCCTGTGTCCCAGATCTAGGGCAGAGAAGGGCACAGGTACAGACACACGACGTGGGTGCAGAGGGTGTTTGCAGCCCCTTGCTCCCTTCAGCTCCAGGGAGTGCTGAGCTCCCAAAACTCACACGGCATTTCCGTGTAGCTCATGGAAAACTCAGGGCTGCTGAAAACCAGGCTCTGCAAAGCCAGCCCCAGTATCCACCCAGTGGGCACTTGGGGGCAGCAGGGCACGGTGGGACAGACACACGTGCTGGTGGGATGGGGACAGGGTAGCCTGGGTGGTCCCAGCCCTGCTCACCTGCACCTTCAGGGGAGTGTTGTCCACCGCCAGGACCTTGGTCAGGATGCTGGCGCCCAGCGTGGTGCGATAGTCCTCGTAAAACCTCTTGTGCACGTACTGGTGCAGGAGGGAGGTTTTGCCCACGCTGGCAGGAGGGAAGGGACGTGGGTGAGGATTGATGCTGCAAAGCTGCACTCCAGGGGTCAGTCTCAGCAAGGACAGGGCACTACACCCACGGGGGCTCCCTCCCCTCGCCAGCACCCCTCCTTACCCCAGAGCTCCTATGATAATTATCTTCAGATCCACCTTCTTGCTGGCATCCATGGGCGGGCCCTGCGGGATGAGAGGGGGGGGTCACCCGGCGGCGGGGATGGGACTGGCTCCCGGCAATTCCCACGGCTCTGGCGGGGGTGTGGGAACAGCCACTGCTCCCCAAGGCCTCCCCGCCTCCCACCTCAGCTGTCCCGGGGTTCCAGATGCCACCGTGTCCGTGCCGGGCCAGCCCCTGCTGCGTCCCGGCGGTTCTGGGGGCAGGACCCCCCCTGCTG